GAGGCTTTAATGGCTTTGTGGTGGGCACAAACAAACAGAACTGGAAACAAATTCGGCGGGATTATGGTTGACTTGAAGGGGGTCCTCTATAAATAGAAATTTTAAGAGGCATTTTCAACCCATTAAACATTAAACTTAATGAAATTTCGGACTGAACATATATATTTCTTTTAGTTTTAAAACATAAAAATATTTACTGATTTTGTTGAATGTTTTTAGACATCAAAATATTAATTTGCTAATTATAATTTAATAATAGTTTTTCAATATATATTACTCTACGGTAACATTTGTTTTATTTTTTTATCTCGAAAATAATTAGAAATGTTTTTTTAATTGTATTCTATATTTTTGTATATGTATCTTAAGACAATAAAACATGTACCTTTTTCAGATAAGTTTAGTAAAGATTTTAATTGTAAGGTAAATACCTATTTTGTAATCCTAAGTTCATATTCCTTGAGCCGCAAGGACCCTAAAAACAGTGTATTAAATATTTTATCTTTGAAATCTTTATCCTACTTCAATTGAATAATTAAGTAGTTCCATATTTACCTCTTCTGTTTGTGTGCTTTTATTAATACCATCTTTAATGACTTATTTTAAGGCCCATAAACAGGGACTAACTACTGTTTACTGCCATCTGAATGAGTACTAATTAACTAAGTAAAGCACGGCGATGCCGAGATACTCTCTTCTGTGCTCTCTTCCTGGCCAGAACACACATATTTCCACATTTTCCGAAGACCAATCAACAGTTTGCCGTGTGGTGCGAGGAAAAGCTCCTCGGAAAAGCTCTCGGGGAAAAAGAGATGCTGCGACGTCGACCGAGGAAAGCAGTCGAAAGCAGAGGAAAGCAGAGGAAAGCAGCAGTCGCAGCCACAAGTTGCCTTTTCGACATTTGCAACAGTTGCTGTTGAGTGGCTTCGAAAGTCGGACGTGGCGAAAGGTATAGCGGATGGATCCGTAGCGCCATCGAAACTCTTATCAGTGGATTTATCACCCCCCTCTTTTCCTCTCTATTTGTGTGTGTGTGCGAGTGTATCTGTGTGCGGGTTGCGAAATTGAGGAAAATTGAAAACGCTTGTAACGGGAAACTAGTTCAAGTGCAGGGCGCCAAAGTTTCGAAGTGAAAAGTGCAAATTCAAATTTTAAACAAAACGAAATCTGAAGACATAAATTATAAAAGCAATCAAAATATAAACTCACACTCACATATAGTTCATATAATTTTTGGCACATGTTTATTAAAACGAAATTTCGGTGATTCAACACATGTGTTTCCAAAAGATTCGAAAGGAAAACAAATGGAAAAGTGTTTAAGCGACTACCGTAAATTCTAAGCCAAAATAAAACTCAAGAGAGCAATGAAAAATCACGGCTAATTTTATTCAGATTGGAAAATACGATTATAATCTGACCCAGCACAACCCAAAAACCCAAACACAAAACCGAGCAAATCCCAAGGAAATTACCATATGTAATCCACACACAATCGTAGACAGTGTATCTGTGTAAATGTAACTCAAGCACTAAGAAAAAATTAACGAAAGGTGCAAATTTCTTGAAGTTTGTGGAGGATTTATTTTAAAATATTATTAAAAAGTCTTGATATTAAATCAGTTTTATTTATATAATTTTTATAAAAATGTTTAATATTCCATTAAAAAAGAATGGTTTAAAAATTCCTTATTAATAAATAAAAATCCTTAATTAATATTCTTTTTAAATACTTTTTTTTTGGAAAAATCTTAAGCTTGTTTAATATTATTTCAAAATTATGTTGAGAACTTAAAAAATATATTTCTCTGTGCAGAACATATTCACAATTCTACAACATTTTTGACACGCGCCTGAAAATAAATTTCGTTACATTTACGCTTTTCTCTTTGGTTTTTCTCGTTCCCTGACTGGTGTTTTCCTTCGATTATATTTTTTTTTGGGCCTCCTGCAAATAAAGTTCTGTTGAATTGATTTGATAACAGCATAGAACAACCAGCAACAGGCAAAAACCAGCAACAAACAACGGCAGTTGGCAATCGAAAAGGCGGCAGAAACAAATTTCACCGCTTTTCCAGGAAAAAAATGTGAGTACATATGTATGATTTTAAGGATGATTCCCCTGATTTGCATTTCAAAGGTTTGCTGTGTGCGTGATTATCGTGTCTGGCCCCCCGAAAATGTCAGGCGGCTCACGCTGCGTATGATTGATTGGGCCCCAGTGAGCTTGTTCCATAATTATGTTAACGTGTTGCGTGGCGAACGGATTTTCGTTTTGCATTTTGCTATTAAAGCGATTGGATTCTTTGAATTTTCGCTGTTTATGGAAAAAAAGGAATATTTGGTTAAATGTGGTGTACCGATAGCGAAAGGTATTGAAGCGAACTGAAATCGGTGTGTAAATATAGCAGCATATTCTATAGAAAACAAAAGCTTTGCGGTTGAATGCTTGTGAAAATCTACATGTGATAGCTTCCATTAAAAATGATGAATAAATAAAGAGCGACTTTCTATTGTTTTCTAAACTAACATAATAGAATATTTGTGGTGACTTTTTTGTGAGCACTTTTAAGGGTTTTTTTTAGTAGCATTGTGGCACTCATAAATATTAAATATTTGTTAAACTTTGAAAGTTATAGTAATAATTAAAACAACAAAACTAAATTTATTAGATTTTTGTCTATCGAAAAATGGTTTTAAAATAATTTAAAATAATTTATATTTATGAGCTTATATAATCTAAATAAAGATTCACCATTGCAATGCATTGTAAAGCTTCAAAGTTCCTTCTATTAATTTCCAGAAGGTCAAAGGAGTGCCAAGTTGGATTTTAGAATCTCTCAAAACTTGGTTAATATTAAATTTTATTCCGCCTGTTATTCTGTCTACACCGAAACATGCTAGAATTTCGTGTTATCCCTCTAACCAAACTTCAAACTTCTTCTTTGCACTACGCGAAGCGTGAATTACCATCCGTCTTAGGAAGATTTTGCCATAAAGTTGGAAGCGTTTTAGTCCTTGTGTAAACCTCTCAACTTTTGAACTGCAGAAGAACCTACAACTTCCGTCGAGATTGAGCTGAAAGTTGGTTTTTAATCCAAAAAGTTTAATTAGCTGATGGAAGGGCTTGTTAACTGGCCTCGGCCGCTGAGTCAATTAGACAATTTTCCAATTATATTTGTATGCAATTTCCTGAATTTTTATAAATCGCATTTCTGTTGCAATTAAAGAGAATTTCCTTTGGTGGGCAACTTGTTTAATTGGTTTTAATAACTTAAGCCACTTAGAGGCAATTATGAGGCCACCGCCGGAGCAGCAAGCATGAACCATCGCACATTTTCCTTCAGCATTTTTTCCATTTCCGCTCCGAGTTTTCCATTGGAGTTTCCTGCAGGTTTCCTCCAAACGGATTGTTTGCTTCCCCGCCACGGGGCATCAGCCGCAGCTGCTCCGACGCATTTTAGCACCTTGACACCTGTCCTCTCACCTGGACGTGTTTGCATTCCAGCGTTGCATACTTCGCGGCACCGGGCTTTCGAGTGATTTACCACTTCTTCACTCTGGGTAGTTAATGAATAAAATTATTTAAAAGGGCTGCACTGGCTATTTACTCGCTTCAGGCCTTCAAGTCAACAGAAAAACCCAGAGACAGCCATTTATGTAATCACTGGTTCGTTGAACTATTAAAGCTTAAAGTTTCGAATTTTTTTAGCGTGGAGATAGATTAAAACATTTTAAAGTACTTGGTTTATACTAAAAACTACCAGATTTAAAAAAATTTAAATTTAAAATAAATAGAGTTTCTAATTTACCAATAACAGTTATGGATAAATATTTAACAACAATAGGTTAACTACATTTTTTAAAAAGTTGTCCTCCTTTGCAAAATAGTATTTATATTTGGTTATAATAGAAAGCTTTAAATACGTGCCTAAGATTTTCGGAAAAAGAAAGCTCACAAAAGTAACTAGTCTTTGTTTTACCAATTTTATATACTCTAAATTAAATTTAAGGAAATTTAATTTTAAGTTAAGGAAAAAATTCGTGGTATGCCATTTAAAGTCAAGGCAATAAAACAAAACTGAATCATGAAAATGTGTAATTAATCCAACTAAACTTCCTAGTGAGGTGTGAGTGTAAATATAAAATTCCACCGTGTCGAGCGTGACGCAGTAAATTAGCATTAAAATTAATAAACCAGAAGAAAGTACTTGAAACTGCCCGCATTGCAACCAAAAATCCCATATAAAAGTTTTTTACTATCTAAAGCCCTCGACCGAGTTTTGTTGCTTTTTCACTTTGATTTTTCCCTAGTTTTCCCTAGTTATTTTTTGTATTTTCCCCCGGTTTTTGTTGCTGCACTTGTGCTGAAGAGTTCGCGAAAAAAATGGTGGGTGGATGGGCCCGCGTAGGTTGCAAAATTCAACGGTCGAAGAATAGAGGACAGATTTTAGTTGCGTTGGCATTGACATTTATGCGCACGGGATGGGAATTGGGCTAAAAAACTTGGTATAAAAAATGGAATTTTATGGCACATTATTTTTGCTCGGCGGCTGCTCGCATTGGAATAAATTTTGCGGAAAAGGATGCATGCGAAACAGTTTTATCTGGCAAATGTTAATTTTAATAAACTTTATGTGCCATGAGTGGGATCTTTAAGGGTCGCGTAAAAGTCAACTGAATGAACTGCTTACAAATGGCATGACACCGAGTAATCGACCATTACTTGTCTCTTAAGTTGCTGGTTCTGGTTTTTACTAGGATGTATCTTTGAGTTTGTGAATATGTGACACACCATAAAATTGGATAGGATCTATAAAACGTGTTCAAGTTATTAGACATTGTCGAAAATGTAAAATATTAAAACAATAAGAGTGTTAAAAAATAAACAGATGTTTAGATAAATATGTTAAGATATCAAGTACATCACGTACAAGCACTTTAATATTTTATAATAAAATCTAAATATTAGTCCATAACCAATTTGTTATTCTCTCTCATCACTTTCCAGAACAAACATATTTAAATCTTTTATCCCAGCTAACATCCCTCAGATTTTTGTAAGATCTTTTGTTCCACAATCTGGTGGCAAAGATCCAGGGCTTGGTAACACTTCGATAGAACCTTGCGGATATGGGCTCTCTTCTCTTTTTCCAGGGCATACTGTTGTGGATCCCGCCGACATTTCGATAAATTCTGGGCATAGTAGGTCTTTTGATCCAATCGCTGGCGTTGTTTCTGCATCCTGTGCATATAAGGTCGTAGTTCGGATTGTCTCCTCCTAACCAAATTGCACAAGGAACAGACAATGTGCTTCGATGGCATCCTTTTCACTTCTATTACTTTCTTTACCTCGCGTTTCTTTTTCTCCTTGGGCTGTTTTATTTCAAGGACACTCATAGCTGAAATCTGCTCATACACATTGGATTTAAACAAATCAGGATATGATTGATTAAAACTTATTTCAGAGCCATAAGAGTCCAAAAACTGAGATATTATATCGGCAATTACTATAGGTTTCGATTCTACATTCAAGTGAATTTCATCTTCAGAATCATTTTTGGAACGAAATAGACTTTCCGGTGTCTTTTTATGTAATAGGTCCAAAATGGTTCCCCGAACACTCTGATTTTCAGGGTTCTCGGGCAATTCGATTTCATCACTTTTTATTACCTTTTCAGGATGGGCTTTCTTTCTAAATATAAAATTCTTTGGAACCTTTGGGTTAACAATTGAATGTGGTTTTATGTTTATAGACCAACCGCCACTAATCACGCTCTTGTCCATTTTCTGATTTGTTATTTGACCCCTGTAAAATGAAAAGATTGAACTGGCATTTTTATCCTTAAAGCCCCCGAAAAGTGATGGATTACTTTTGTTCAGACCTTTCAAGATTTCGTGGATGTATTGATTGCTTGCAGAGTGGGACTTTCCCTTAGAAACAAAACTCTGTCTTCGTTCTTCAGTATTTTGGTTGCCTTTTGGGATCTTAAATAATTGTAGTTCGTCTATTTGTAGGCTCTCCTCGGATTTTGGCTTTTCAGCTATTGTCATATTTTCTTTTTTCGAGCTTACTTCGCTATTGTTCTGTGAAGGCTCACTTATCGAAGGTATATCATTAGAACCTTCTTGATCTTTTAGATCTAGGATCTTCTTTAGCTCTTGATATTTTCGATATTTACTTTTCCTTTTTTTCGTTGTCGTCGATATTTTTAAGTTTCGATCTTTGAGTTTTAACAGTTTGGATTCCCTTTCATCATCAATGCCGTATATTCCATCTTCTTCATCGCTACTATCACTATTCTTTTGTGTAGGTCTACGTACTGGACGACTGGTATAAGTAGAAAGTCTTGAGCTAGGGATATTTTCCAAGCTCGGATGTTCGGCGAAAAATCTGCTCATTGTCAAATTAGCAGAAGTGAATTGAATATTGGATTTACTTTTACTAGCCGACTTTAAAAGGGTTCTCCGTGAAGTTATAACTGCTGTATTCTTTATACTGTTTCTTGAACTTAAAGAGTTTTTATTATTATCCCCAATTTTTGTGCTACTTTTTTTAATCAAATTAGCTGACGAGGGTTTATATCTATCTGCGAGGTGATTTGCGTTATTTCTTGTGTTTATAGAGTACTTGTTTTCTGTTGCTGACTTTGAGAGGTCTTTTCTTGAATTTATATATTTATCTTCCATTTTTGTGTTGCTTTTTATAGCATGGTGTATCTCTGACTTTGTTTTATTCTTGTACTTTTGGCGTAATTTTCTTTTCTTTGGCAGTAATTTCCTTGGTTTTTCAAGTGTTTCTTCCTGATTTGGAAGCACAACTAAAGGTCGTCGCTTTGTGAGCTTTTGTAAATGTTCTAGCTTTTTGGACATTTCCTCTTTCAAGTAGGGATCGTAGGACTTTTTAAGCAATTGATGCACTTGCTGTTCCTCACGCTTCCAGGAAATCCATTGTTCTGGAGTGGAAAACTTGCCCTTGTCGAAAAACCTTTGGACTTTCGAACGCTTCACCGTGGTTTTCTTGATTGAATCCGTGCTTTCTGCATTTCGAAAACAGGACACCAGTTCCTGGTAGATGTGCTCATCCCAATCTAATCCTGATGGCAACTGGCTCTCATTAAAGGGTAGCTTCAAGTCCACAGAAAGGGGTCCCTTTTTTGGAGCCATTATTCTAGCGTTCTGTTCAATGCGCCTGCGAATGTTCGACAGTCGCTCCTGACAGTCGCTGGCATAGTAGCTCCAAGTGGCCTTGAATACAGAGTCCTTGTTCGGAGGTCCAAAGTCCAAAGTCCGCAGGAGAGGCGAAAGGCTCTGAATCTTTTCCCGCAAACAATTTCGATTCAGCACACGGCTTCTCTTCAAAATGTTCATTGTGGACTTGATGTTCCAAATTTATACACTTGCAATTTTTATTTGTGGTTGGGTAGGTTTTTATATAATGTTTTTAAACAACTAATAACACCATTTGGCATACTTGCTTGACAATTTTTTCCGTTTGATGGGGCGGCCATTTTAGTGATTTCCTTGGGCATGCAAATATTTAGCTTTCGGTTTAATAAAAATGGGCTTACTTATATTTATTGCGACTTACAGCTGACGAAAGGCAACTTAGATCACAGGTCCTTCAAAAGTCGACTATAAATTCAATAGCTAAATCTATATAACTCTTTTAGTTGGTCATTATAAATGAAACACCAGATGAGATTAAGAACTTGCATAGTAAAAACATTGATAAACCTCAAAATTATTTTGTTACCAGATAAGCTTTCGACCTATAAAAGGTAGTCTAGTTACGCCAACCATAAAAATATACAACAACTTGACAACTATGATACATTTATTCAGTTTCATTAGGAAAACTCCTTGTCCAATGATAAAAACATACATGTTAAGAACCCCCATTTTAAGGGGCTTTACATTAATATACTTTATCCATTATGTTCCCAGGCGTCTTGTGGGCCCTGCTCCAAATCTGTTTATCTCTGATTTGGTTCAGGACCAGCACCCAAGCCACCGTGGTAATCTCTCCTTCTTTTTTCGATCCTGGAAAGTTGCAACCGATCTTCAATAAGGCGACCACATAGGCCTAGCATGTGCAGACATTGCTCCAATTGGTGTCGCATCTTTTCAAGATTGGACTTGCAACTTTTCCTATCTTCTAGGGACTTGGAAGAAGTGGAACTGACAACGATTAGGATCCATTTCCTTATCAGACCCCTTCTCTACACAGAACTCCTTGTTCCCTTTGATCATCTTTAGGTAGTACTGCTTTAACTCCTCGCGGTCCTGTCTCTTTTTCATCTCTATCATGAAGGGTTCGTCGGGTTGGCTGCTCGGTCGACAGAAATCACATAGTTCACATCTATTTCGGTTGACTTCCGTTTGACAGGATACAGTTTTTCTCGGTCTTCTGCGATTTCTCCGACAGACTTCAAAACTAAAGCGATGGTATTTAGAGAAATTCCGGGAAAGAACTGCCCTTTTGCGAGAACCACCTGTTTTCTTCAGCTGCATCTTGGTCAAAATATTTTCCTTTCTTAAAGCACTCTGCAGATCATTTCTCTCAACACGTATTTTCCTAGGTTCACATAATTTTGGCCAAGGAATTTTAGACCAACCTCTTTGGTCATCAGGTTTGATGTTATATAAGCTTAGGAAATCTTTTTTGTGCGACTCTATATAGATGGGACCGAAATGGACATGATCGATGGGCCCAGTATTGACATTGGTTACATCCGTCCTTGGCAGCCAGGATAAAGAGGATAGGTTGTCCGCTTGAGCCACGTCTCTGAATTGAGCGATGTCACGCCTAAAAGTCACTTTTTCTGAGTTATCATCTGGGTATGATTGAATGGAATCCCTATTTTTTTCATCGTCCGATGCAGATTTGAACCGAAAGTGTTTCAGAAAACGAGACCTGGAATACATGTTCTTATCACCTAGTCGAGAGGTCTTCAGATGATGTGCGCCTATTTTAAAGGGTTTCAATCCATATCTCTTCATAAGATGTGAGCTTAATTTGGGTTTCTTCTCACGTATATTTAAAGGACTCCATCGGAATTTTCTGATAAAATCTGAGCTAGATAATATATTTTCAACACCTTTTCTAGAATGAGTCGATCGAGAGCTCTTGAGAAAATGTATGCTGGATTTTATACTTCTAGCATCTACTTTATAAGGATTCAATACAGAGTTCTTGAAATAGCGAGTGTTATATGGATTCACTAGATAGTTCTTGAGAAAATGTGAGCTAGAACTTGTACTCTTAGCATCTAGCTTAGGTGGATTCAGTATAGAGTTAGCTTCTACTTTAGAAGGAACCAATAGAGAGTTCCTAAGAGCACCTATTTTCAAAGAGTTTCTCATCTTACTAGCCCTAAAATTTTCTAAGAAAGCCTCCACGGAATCTATCGGCTTCGTTTCTTTTAGTGGTATTATCGGCAGCTGGGAGTGCCTAAAAGAACTACGTCTATTACTCGTAGCTTGAGATTTTGAGTTGGTCTGCCCGTCTACGGATGCTTTTTGAAGCTTCGGCCTTTTTATGTAGGTATTATTGTTCTTAGTCGGAGTTTTTGATTCGGCTTGATCGTTTATAGATGCATATGTGTCTTGGAACTTTTGTAAAAAATTATTTTTGCTTTTCTTCGGAGTTTTTGATTTGGTTTGGTTGTAAAGAAATGCTTTTGAAAGCTGAGGCCTTTCCAAGGAATTCTTATCCCTCTTCATCGGAGTTCTTGATTTGCCTGGAGAACCATTTTTTGTATGACTAGAATATTTGTGGGAACTTCTTTTGCTCACGGGTTTCTTGGGAGTACCAATTACATCGAGGGTTATCGATTCTTTAGAATTAATAGAGTCATGTTCCGATTTTTCTGGTACCAAAATAATACTGTTTGATGTAATCGTTGACATCTTGGTGTTAGGAGAACCACCAATATCTAAGGGATACTTGGGAGTATCGGATATTTTGGGAGGACTAATTAGTTCGAGGTTTATATATACTTTAGAATTAATAAAACTATGTTCCGACTTTTCAGGTCCCAAAATAATACTGTTTGATGTAATCGTTGACCTTTTTGTGCTAGGAGAACCGCCAATATCTAAGGGATACTGAGGAGAATCAGTTTCTTTCCAAGATTCACTTGGCGAATCATCTAACTCAGTCCTTTTAAGCTTAATAGATCCAACGGGTATGTTCTCTATATGGTGGGCGTAATTGGGGATATCGCTTTTTTTCCAATATTTCCTTGGCGGATCCTCTAACTCCGACTGTTTAGGCTTGGTAAAAACATTGGATACGTTCCCGATATCTATGGTATGTTTGGGAAAATATCCTGACTGTTTTGGCTTGGTAGAACCATTGGATATTTTTCCTATACTTATGTTATATTTGGGAAAATATCTTTTGTTCCAATATTTCCTTGGCGGATCATCTAGTTCAGACCATTTAAGTTTGGTAGAACGAAGGGGTATTTTATGACAGTCACGGCACACTCGTTCATAAAGTTTTATCAATTTTGGCAGTTCGGGATCCTCGATTAGTTTTAAATAGTTTCCACTCTTAGGTCTTGCTTCCTGGCTCTTCACAAAGTTCGTTGAAGTCGGTTGAAGAGATGGACACCATGAAACCAGGGGATTGGAGTACTGACCCAAAAGATTGGGGGATATCTTACGGAGACCTCCAGCGGTTGCTGAGGTGATACCACGCCTGAGACTCCTCATAATGATAGGACAACACTGAATATATCCACAGATAACAAATATTTAAATACGCTTGGAATTTTTTCAAAACTCGAAATTTTGGTTATCGCTGGCATACGATTTGACTAGTGACTCAAAGCATTTGATTTTTAGCTCTCCTTGTAGGGATTACGTCCTAGGTAGATGATTTGACCACTGGGTTGTTTCGATTTCAAATCCCGATGAATCGGTACAAAGCACTGGCACTTGGGAAAGTGTTGATCCCTCTGGGGTTGTAACATCAAGGGACCCATTTGCTGGCTTGAAATCACTTGGGGCAATATTGGTGCCCCTGGCATTATCCTGCGCATCTGGCGACTCAATCTGGTGGCCATAACTATCGGTAAATGGAACCAACAGCGTATTCAATGAACCAAATTTAGGATTTAAAATATTATATGAACAGTTTAATAACCAAAAATAGAAAAATGGTAAAAACATTACTGATTTGTTCGGCATCTGGACTTTTAAAAAAGAGTGAACTGAGCTGACATTAGAACTCTGAAATTATCAAAATAATATGATATAACATATTATATGAGAGATTCTTTTCTTTAAGGTCTTAAAATGATTTTTGATTTTTATGAAGATAGAATATAATTTATGGTTTTCTTCGGTCCACCCAATTTATATTTGTATAAATATTTAGTTTACTCTTAAGGTTAAAGTTTTGTATTATTATTTGAAACCCCTATTAAAGTTGTTTCCTTAAAATAAGTTAATTTTCATTTTTTCATTTTTCGCCTCTCTATATATATGAGCTGCACTCTAGCAAAATTAAAATATTCACTTTCCTCGTTTTTGTTCCATTTTAACTTTATAATGCAGGCAGATGCTGGCGAGGCAGCCTTCCGTTTTGTTTTCCCATTTCCCAAGAGCGTTTCCCATGTGCACCGCCCACATTCGCAATGAGAATAAGAATAATTGTTGTCTGTCCCTGCCTTGAATCGCATTTCTATGCACATTGTGACCGCGACAAAGCCTCAAAATGCCTCAGGGAAGCCGCGATTCTAGCCGCGTTCCTTTGGCCAACTGGGTAAAATATCAAGGTGCGAGGAAATGAATATTTTCATACTTACCAAATTGCAGGGGACAAACTTTATTTGCTGGGGTGCCAAGACTAATGCTCTGGAAATTCCTGAAAGCATTTATTAAATTTTGTATTTAAATTAATCTATAAAAAACATTTCTAAATGTCAGACTTTATAATTCTTCGCACTTAACTTGGTTAATATTTTAATCGTTGATAGCTTAAAATTCGAAATACCTGGGGTTATTGCCCCACTTACTTTATTTAGCCCCTCTCATTTTGTAAATTTCCCCTTGTTTAAAACAAAACGGTCATAAACTTACAGAAATACACATGTGGAAAATAATTTTATGATTGACTATAACAAAACCAAATACCCTTGCCAAGTTCAAGATCCGACACAGTTATGGTTGTGATCATATGGGATGTAAAGATACAATTCTCCTAGCAACAAGACACTGCAAAAAACGGTGTCTAAGTAAAAATTAAATTAAATTTTATTTTAAACTAAGAATGCCTTCCATATTGGCAAAGATATACTTAAGTAAGATTAATAGCTCATAGTACTTATTATTTTATTTATTTATATAGATAGTTAAATATCTTTTTCTGCGAGTGCCTGGCAGTTGAGATCCATAGTACATATGGCTCTCTGACATCATAGTTAATAGCTTTTAGAAGCACTTTATCCCGTAAGTTGCTATTTGTGTTAATTTTTCATTTTTTTTGCCAAACAAACGAAGCCTGTTTATTTACTCCTTGTATACGTTGTATGTGTTTGTGCATAAAACATAAATTCCCAACGTATCGCATTGGACGCTAAAATAACACAGCTGTCGTTTGTTGTACTACCACCTGAATTTGAATTTGGGGCAGATAAAGGTGATTTGTTTAAGTCAATTCCAATGGGGCCATAAACAATGCTGCAGAAATTATAAAATCAACACAGTTTTTGCGCTGATGGACTGTCGAAGTCGTTGGCCCAAGTGTAAGCATTCGATGATGGGTTTTTAGCAATTAATTTAAATATTACCATTTGGAGAAAGGTAAATGTCTGAGTGCCAGCGCGTGGCAAATAAACGAGCTACAAAAATAAATAGCAAAATTACCATAATCATTTCAAAGACTTCAAATAATAATAAAAGTGGGCGTTTATTCAAATTTAATTGATATTAGTAGGCAATAACCAACAGAATTCAATGTTTAAATATCAAGGTATCCGTTTTATTTTCTAATTGGATCCGAATGGCGCTAATAAACCTTTATTTTGATTTGTACAAATTAAAATCAGACGTTAAAACGTTGATAAATTTCAAGCAAATTTTGGATGCATCTTTAATATTTTTAAAATGTTTATTATTGCATTTAAAGCATTCTAAAATTCATTACAATTAATTATGATTTGATTTCCACGGCCGCTGTGGTTTTCCAATTATCTAAATATGGTGGCAAACCCCATGGCATTTCAATTAAACATGAATTTCCTGCGGTTAACCTGATGCCCCTTGAAAAATGCCGGCAAATGCGAGGCAGCATTTCAACATTTTAATGCATTCAAGTGATGCCGATCCTGATTTCCCGCTGCCAATACCATTTTCATTTCCATTTCCAATACAAAGTGAAGCTGACTCAAAGCATATTTGCAAACAATTAGCATGCTCGGGGATTCAAAACGCTCGGCATCGGAATCGATGGAGGATATGGTAATAATGATGATGATGTTCTATTATAATATAAGTACTACTTGACAGTGCTCTGTCATTCGCATTGTGGCTGGGCTGAGTTATTCGCGGAAAGGAACCCCAGGTCTAAATCAATATCAGAATCAGATTTCATGCATGTCAGCCTGGGCAAACATATCCATATGTTTGTTTCATAGACAACCGGGCTCGCAATATTAGGTTGCAATTAACATTAAAATTTTATGTTCACGAATTTAATTGAGAAATTAATAGAAATAAATGTAAATTTTATATATAAATTAAATATAATGATAGTAATACTATCTGAATTTTATTAAATAAATGTATCTCATTTGTAACTACCTACATCTAAAATTTATTTAATAAGTTGCTACTTAAAGTTCAAGCTCATTCTGTGTATAATATTCAGACAGTCACTGGTCTTGTTTTTGTCCAGACCAGCTGGATAATTTCATTTATTATATTATTGGCATAAGGCAGGCATTATTAGGCTCGGTCCCCTATCCATTGTTTATGTGTACAGGCGACAAAAATAGCACCAAACAACATGCTAGCATGTGCTAGGGGGTAAATTAAGGTATTTTGGGGGATATGTTATTCATTAGATTAGCTTATGCCCTTTTAAAGACTTGTGCTATAGTTGTATGATTTTAAAAATACTGATAAATTATAGTATAGTTTATATAAAGAGTAAGAAGAATTACATTTATGTATTCTATTTTTTAAATCAATCTTTTTTCAATCTTTAGAAAATTTTAAAGTTGTATCTTTAAATCGCTTGATCTTGATACAGTATTTTAATTGACAGAATGCCTCCAAGATGATCTAGTTTTAGCCAGGCCACATGAAGTTAATGCAATGCAGATTTTTCTTTCCAGAGATCAGGCACGTGCCTCTATCTATATGTACTCGTAGTAGAAAGTGCATTGGGGCAAGGTCGGTTCGCACAATAGAAACTGCCATATGCGTGAATTTGACTGGCTGCTCTGCATTTACGTCTGATTGACTTTTTAATGGGCTTCACATTTGATTGAATGGAAATTTCACAGAAATTAAGCAATCAATTGCGCAGATCGACTGCAGTAAACAAATATTGTTGACTGCGGAGGGAATGCATTAGCTTGTTGATTAATTTCCATAGCTTGTTTGTAACATTTGCTGGCCTAATCAGAGTGAAACTTTTTCCCTACACCTATTATTTACAATTATTACTTACGTGCTGGGTGGGCAAAAGTATGCTAATATGCCAAGTACCCAAGCAAATATTTTTACAAACCCCTAAACCAAAAACGTTGCCCAAGTAAGCAGCATTAATGGCAACAATAACAGCAAACAGCCGAAGTTCCCCCAAACAGCATATGGGAAAAACGACCCAAAGCTAAAGCCAAAGTTATGCCTAAGTGGCGGTTTTTCCCCTAGTCTCGCCCCAAAAAGAAAAACCACACAAATTTCCTGCCCTGCAGCTACCAAAATAAATTAAAGCGGACTTGGCAACTTTCTGCCTTGCTCCGTATTTTTGTCTATTTTTTAATTTTCTACAATTTACCCACATAAATAAATGGAAGGAAAGTTAGTGGGAATGTCCTGTGGCCAGGACTAATGATTGAAAAAAGGAAGAAGTGATAAAAAATGTGGCTGTGGGGCAGGACAGCCAAGAAATGCTCTCTCTTTCTCTGTGGTTTTGCTTTCACTTTCCTTTCCTTTCAACTATTATTACCTTTTATAGCGTTTGAGATGTGTATTTACAATCCTCGGGGATGTTTACTTAAATCCTCTCAAAGCCAAAACGCCTTCACTTTTCGGTTAGGGTGTACCCACAAATTGACCGTTCCGCTGTAATTTAATTTGAGTTCTGGTGAAAGTTTACAACAGTTGCAGGCGGTATACAGAAAAATACGGTCATAAAATATGCAACTTTGAAAAGAAATAAAAAAGCCCAGTTCGAGGCAACAAAAGAGATTAAATTGCGTAGCCGTAGCCTGTCAACATTACCCCAACTTTTTTGTTTGCGAGCATTGAACTCGTTTTAAAGCGCCAGATAATATAAAATGTGGCCGTTTTATTTATCTTTCGACATGGAAAAAGTTTTCCCTTTAAGCGTAAGCTTGCTTACATTTAAGTTATGGTTTAAATAAGTATGGATTTTAAATGTACATGTGTTTTTCAGTCCACTTTTTAATGAGGCATATGTAGAGTGATTTAAGTATTTTTTTCTTCCTACTTTCCGCAAATCAACCCAATTAGCGACTGCAGTCGGAAACTGAAT